ATCTTTCTTCGGATAAAATGATCAGAACAATCTCCTCTTTCCGAAAGTTACTATCTCATCGTTGCGGAAAAAATTAAGCCGTAATTTGTTGGACTGTGTTATTGTTATCTTCACAATCCAAGCGTTCAAGTAAAACCGACTTAATACACAAAACAGCTTGACTATTTGATACAAAAAATACACAAAACAGCTGAAATACCTATTTCCATTCATAGTTAATCGCAAATGGTTTTTGACCCTTCTCAATTATGAAAATGAACATTCGCGTTGCAATTCGTCACAGCTAATAAAATGATTAAAATTCGAGGTCCGAGTTGTAAATGTTCTAAAATTTTCGTGAATATCTTCGAAATTTAGTTGCCGAATTCAGTGATAATTGTAAATTTATTTAAGATATTTTAAGGGTGTTAGGTTATCGCAAAGAAAATCAAGCTTGATAGAATGGGTGATAAGAAAACAATGCAAACAATACTCTCTGTATGCTGAGGCACGTAATTCAAACTTGAATTAGGCAAGGTCGTCGAAGAAGTGAATTTGTTTGAAACTTTCAAAGATGACGATAACCAAATTACTTTTAAACTTTTTACAGCACAACCTTGTATATTTTAAGATCTGTGAAACGATAACATCTCGTTTATCGTTAGTAAGCAAGCGCATCATAACACGCAAAACTTTACGATAAATGAGGTAGCAAGCTCAAGATAAGCATCTTGCGATAAGTGAGTCTTATAATGAACATTGTATTACTGTGAAAAGAAAAATGTACAATTTAGAAATCTCTAAGTAATTGACATTGAATATACTATAAAGTTACAGTGACCAGAATTTCATATTCTATTAGTGAAAATAGTTAGTTTCTCATGTATCACATTTTTCACATACTTTTCGGAAAATGCACCGTAACGCGAAGTAAACGTATATTATAATTTAAATATTGCCGCGGGTACCGAAAGCACCTAAGATAAGTCCAGCGCTGGCAAAAACAAACCTTCGAGGTGAGGGGTATTAAAGCATCGCTCAGTGGAAGCCATGCCCAATTTGGCGGGGATAGATTGGAAGTCATAAATGTTCGAGTTCGAGTGCGAAATTTCTTTGTTTTTTGACAACTAACAAATCAATGGATTATTGGGTTTTCTTTGTTTTGTTTTGCTCCCAATATTCGCCCACCTGTGAGCTTTCAAACTTAACATATTTTTAAACAAGTGCACTAATTATTTTCGTTTATGTTTTAAATGAAAAACATTTCTTTGTGATCCGTGCTTATATGTTTTAGTGATTAATCTCGTTAATATAATATGATCTATTGTGTATGTGAAGTTCAAAAATTCGCTGCAGGATTTTGCACCTTTTTTATTTTTTGCGTTTTTTAGATACAATGTTTTCTAATGTTATTGATTCCTCACAATTTAATGAAGAGCAATATCAACATCTAATAAATTGATGGATATGTGGAAAAGGAGTCATAGGATTATGGTATTGTTTGCAGAGCGAAATAAAAAATGCCTCGCAAATTGTTTCAATATTGAGCTCTGAATCTGCAATAGCATCAAAAATGATTTAAAGTTGAAATATTGACACAAAAACCCCTATTCCTTACACACCTGAGGCTTTGGTTCTACTTTTAGATGGAGGCTACACAAAAAGTTCTTATAAATTGATGCAATAAGGTGCCAAAGGTCGAAACTTCCATATATGTCCGAGTTACGATATTTTGGTTAAAAGTACAAAGGAGTGTTATCCCAATGGCATACGCGTAACTGAACAATAAGCTAAAGTGAATTTACATTATCTTTTTGGCCACACTGTTGCACGTATAATAAAAGGTTATTCACCAGAATTTGAGAGCCTCGGCAATGATTGCTTAAGAGCCATATTTAAATGGGGGTGTGATGGTAGCAGAGACCATTCTACTTAGTGGCAATGCTTTCGTGCTCCTGAAACTGGACCAATTGATGAAAATTTGTTTGCTGTATGTATTGTATTGTACCTTTGCTAATAAAAAATGGATCCTAATACCAGACCTATAAAAATTACGAAAAATTGTCACCGGAATTAGCTGGGTTAGAGCTGAAAATGTGGATAGGCAAATTGCACGAATTCTGCCAACAGCATCGAATCGTTCGCAAGTAACATACAATGCCATAGTAGAACATTCAATGCCATAGCGGAGTCATCATCACTGGCTTGCGGAAATTTTGGGGCGACTCCAAGATTAATGTACAATTTGAATTTGATTCGGCTGCGCAACATTTATTCGAATATGGATTATCAACTCTACATGCTTGGATACGGTGTTTCAAGTGCATAATTCAAATCGCCTACAAACTACCATTAAAAAACTAGAGAGACTTTCGTGGAGAAAGTAAGGAAGTTATTGAAGCAACAAAGAAAAAAATTCAACTTGAACTGAAAAGAGAAATGTGTATCTTTGTGAACATCAAAATGACGGGCTCAAGGAACACAAACAGCGGTAATAATCAAATTTCAGCATCTGACTTTGGCTTCTATGGTAACTGGCGTATAAGTGGAATTAATCAAAATATTCAATATAATATAATAAAATATTCATATGTTAAACCACACTCGAAAAATCTCGGGCCTGCACACCCTGAAAGACTTAATGTACGCTCTATTGGCTTCGTCAGACTATCTCATAACCTCCAAATCCAAAATTACCTCGAAATACTCTAAAAAACACACTTATATAGATGATGTGGTCAAGCAGCTTCTTTTAGATGCGAATGAGTTACCGGACAGCTGTATTTCCGAAAGCTCTGCTTCGGAATAATTTTCTAAGCCTTTCCTTGAATAAAACAAAAAATGTGAAGTATAAACTTTTTATGAAAAATTAATTTTTGCTATAAAAAAAAACTAAGAATTACAGCTAACAATGGTACTTTCTTATATATATTTTGCATATACCATATTTTGCATATAAAAAATAATGAAAATTAACGAAATTAATTGATAAAGTATTTGTTATCAATTATTCAATTTACAAATAACATTACAATTTTTTATTTCTTTTCGAAGCTATTATACTTGCATGAACAAAGCAAATCCGTGCAGGCGAAGTTAACTTTTTTACTTGTTTTAATATTTTCTATTTACTATGTATTCTATATATTTTTTAAACAGTTTCCATTGTCATGATGACTCGCCAAAAATAGTGGAATCCATCCAAACATATACATCAGCAAAGTCATTGTTTGTTTAGGTTGATTACTCAATACATAAAAGTGATTGTTTGTGTAGAAAATGTGTGTGCCACTTGAAAAAACTATACAAAATATAGGAACTGTTTAAAGCCATTCTGACCAAAATTTTGTTTCTTCTCAATACTTGAAAATTGAATTTTGCTTTGTATTGCAATGTAATGTTTAGTCCTTACAGTCCAGAGAAATTCAAATTAACAAAAATGTAATAAAAAGAAAGCAGCAAGTTTGTACAAAACTGAATTTAATAGTAAATTACTTACATAATAAATAATAATACGTTTGCAGTCACTATCGCAGTACTTTTATTAAACACTTCCGTCGTGTCTATAATACTCTTCTCTGATACCACTCAATATTCATAATTTAAAACTCCTTCTCGTAGGTAACAATTTTTTTAATTTCAGGTGATACAGAGAGTAGTTAGGTTAACAAAACTATTATACTCTCTGTACAATGGTACTGAATGTAGCTTTGCTGGTCCAACTTTTTATTAAAATAAATGTTTTACAAAAATACAATATCACCTATCGTTTCATTGCGGCCTTACCTTACTCATAGCATGTGTTAATTTACCCAGCAAAATAGCTAGCCGTTAAAGCACACAGTTTCTTAATACCGAATTAATAAAACTTTAGTGAGTTTGAAATAATTAGGTTATAAATATAATATCTCACGAGGGTAGTGAAATCACCGATTAAATAACAGAAACAATTAATGTATAATATAATATAAAGAGGTTAGTGCTACCCAAACTTACGTGTAAACTCTCTATTAAGCTCCACACAAAATAGTCAATACTATAGTTTTATCTTAGCATTATCGTATAAATAAGGTACTAGTACCATAAACTTAATTTCAGCATATTCTAAAAAATCCATTTATAATAATAAAGAGCAGCAAGATAAATATACGACAATAAATCCATGAATTGTTGTTAAAAATAAATTTCGACCGGTTTAAAAATATTTACGAAGTAACACAACCAGTCGTAAAAATGGAACCTAAAATAAAACACAAATATAATATATATTGACAATATTGTAAAAAAAAAAATACTTTTCATTTCGCTAATTTTAATTTTCAAGAAATTGTAGGATTAAACAGTTTGAATATTTCACTGTACGAAAGTAAATTATAAAATCGCTATTTGATTTAACGGGTTTATAATATTCGAGTTAACTAATAGTGAAGAATAAAGACAACTAAACCCACTTTTAATTGTGAATTGCATCGTGGAGTGTGGGCAAATTCAAAAAGTATGTGTTAAAACGTGCGCCATCCTGGTTTGTAATGGATTTGAACAGAAAATTTTTTCCTGGGAGTTATTAATTTTTTCGTCCACTGTCGATGAATTAAACCTATTTGCGGGTTAACCGACTGAAGTTTGGAATTCAATCGTTGTTTTAATGAAGAAGCGTTCTGAAACGTTTGAATTGAAACTGTTAGAATTTCGAATGTTGTTCGGAGGCAACTATTTACTTGATGAAATTTTGCAAAATAGCTTTAGTAATAATGCTACATCTTGTTGAGATTAGAAATATAATATTATATTTTCATTAGATTGTTGCTTATTGTATTGTTGCTCTTTCTATTGACTTTTTTATATTCGAAAATATATTCATACTACATACTTACTCGGCCAATATTATTTCCATCCAACAACATATCTTAATAATGGTTAGGACTAAATTATTCTAATAAGCTATGTATACTAATAATTGTAGTTCAATATTTAAATACTACATTAAAAACTTAATTTAAGTATGTATTTCAATTTCGCAGTTACCAGGTTAATGGGTGGGTCAGCGACTACTTCGATGGGACATATGGCCAATATGGGAAGCCTAGCCACATGTAGTGTAACTGATTCGAAGCCATTACAATTCCCCTTGACACAGCGACGTAAACGGAGAGTATTATTTACCCAAGCTCAGGTAAGAATTATTAGCTTAGACCTAAAATTAAATATGTTTTTGTTTATTTTTATATACATTGTATCAAAATAAATAAGATATATGAATTTGGGTGAAAACTTTACATTAGGTACCTTAGCATTTATTTTTCATTTCAACGTTTCTTTTAGAAAAGTCTGAAACTGACTCAGCTTGTAACCAGTTTGTTCAAATAACATACAAGGTGTGTCCTTAAAATATCCGAACTTTTTGCACATTATATAATCTTTGCAAGTTACAAGTATAATTTATTCAAAATAGGTTTCAATATACTCAATATATTAGATTTTTTTAATGTCATTTATAGGAATGTCCTTCTGCACCTCCGTTGAGGTATGGTTGAAGAGAGAAATCCGTTTTTATACTCTCGCAAGCCTGTTGCTACAGAGTATAATAGTTTTGTTCACCTAACGGATGCTTGTATCACCTAAAACTAATCGAGCTAGATATAGGGTTATATATATATAAATGATCAGGATGAAGAGACGAGTTGAAATCCAGGCGACTGCCTGTCCGTCCGCCCGTGTAAGCTCTAACTTGAGTAAAAATTGAGATATCTTTATGAAACTTGGTAGGCAAGTTTATTGGTACCGTGAGACGGTTAGTATTGCAGACGGGCGTAATCGGACCACTGCCACGCCCACAAAACGCCATTGATCAAAAACAAATAAATTTCTATAACTAAGCTGCGCAATAAGTACAGGACTCTTATTTGGTACACAGGATCACATTAGGGAGGGGCATTTGCAGTTAAATTTTTTTTTTTAAAGTGAGCGTGGTCCCCAGTTTAATGTGCATATCTCCTAAACCGCTAACGCTATAATAACAAGATTCACTGCAAGCAAAAATTTTCAGAACCTCTACTTACAGTGTGAAAATAGTTGAAATCGGGTGGCAACTCCGCCCACTCCCCATATAAAGGTGCTGTTAAAAAATACTAAAAGCGCGATAAATCAAGCACTAAACACGCCAGAGACATTAAATTTTATCTCTGGAATAGTATGAGATAACTTTATAGGAACCGCGTTCAAAATTAGTCAGTGGGCGTGGCACCGCCCACTTTTAGTTGAAAACCCATATCTTGGGATCTTTTTAACCGATTTCAACCAAATTCGGTGCATAACTTTCTTTTCATATTTCTATGTTATAGTGCGAAAATGGGCTAAATCGGACTTCAACCACGCCTATTTCCCATATAACACCATTTTTTATTCCATCTGATTCTTTCACTTTCCACTATGCATATCAAGCAATGCAATAATTATATCGGGGTAAAACTTTGCGTGAATAATACGTTTAAAGTAAGCCACCTTGTGACCAAAAATTGTCTAAATTGAACCAAAACTGTTCAAGCCCCTAAGTACTAAATATGTGGACCCCAGTGCCTATAGTTGACCTTCTACCGAAAATATCAGTCAATCCACAAAGAAATCTCAAACGAGTATACCGTTTGACTTTGCGAGAGTATAAAATGTTCGGTTACATCCGAACTTAGCTCTTCCTTACTTGTTTCTCATTCATTTGAAAGAAAACGCGCACAAACCTTTATTGTACCCAAATGTTCAGTAAAAATTATCTAAATAGTGTTTGGATTCTTTGGTTGGCTGCGGGAGTCAACATGCTCGTAGTAAAATTTATACGATACCAATAATTTCACGGACTTTTTCCACCAATTCAGCACACTACTATCTTCTGGACGACCTGGCTTTTGGTTGTCATTTAAATCCTAACGACCGTTCGTTTAAACCAAGTACAAGCTTGAGTACGATTTATACAATCATCACCATAAGCTGTTTTCATCAATTCGTTTGTCTCAGCGATTTTTTTTCAAGTTTAACTCAAGACTTTATATTTGTTTTTTGAAAAATACATAGAAAAATTTTAATTTTTTGTGAAAACGAAATACTAATTTTGAATGGGAATGTGGAAAAAATTTATTCAAAGTATTCAGCATTGATTTTTACACATTTTGACCAGCTTTCTGACAATTTGTGGATACCATGCCAATAGAAATGTTCGTCTTTTGAAGCAAACGAATCGGATACCCAATTATCGACTTCTGCGTAGGAATCGGAGTGTTACTCAGCCAATGCGTGTCCCATCGATGAAAACAAATGGTAATCGGGAAGTACCAAGTCTGGTGAATACGGCGGATGGGGTAACAGCTCCCAGCCAATTTCTTTGATTATGTCCTGAACCGATTTTGCTTTGTGTGTAGGTGCACTGTCGTCTAACAAAATTACTTTGCTGTGTATTCTGGCCCATTCTTGTCGTTTTTCGATCAATGCATGGTTCAAATTGACCATTTGTTGTCTGTAACGATTAATGTTAACATTTTTACCAGGTTTTAGAAGCTCATGATATATCACATCCTTCTGATCCCACCAACCACAGAGCATTGCCTTCTTACCGAATCGATCTATTTTTGTAGTCGATGTTAATGGTTGTCCCGACATAACCCATGATTTTCTCCTTTCAGGATTCTTAAAATAAATCCATTTTTCATCGCCAGTAACAATTCGATGGCTGCCATTGGCATTTGACTCAAAGCTTCATCTACATCCAATATTGTTTGCAGTTCGGCATCTTCAAACTTTTTTTGTGGTCTTCCACGTTCTTCATTTCTCACATAAAAGTCATTATCTCTGATACTTTGAAATCATCCTTTGCATGTTACTTCTGATAGAGCATGATCACCATATGTCTCGACAAGCATTCGATGCGACTCTGCTACCCTTTTCTTCAAATAGAAATAAAAAATTAATGCTTTCCGCAAATCATCACTTTCCGGTACGAAATTTGACATTTTCAACACAATGACAAAATACGATGTTGTTTGATCAATGACTGTAAGGTTATTGCATAGAATATAGATTATAGAGAAGGTACACAGTGCGGCCATTATCAAAATATTTCACTTTTCGCAGGGGAACTGAAAACGATGAGCGTGTTTCACCAAATGGCCACAATTAATATCAGGGGACTGAAAAATAGCAGAATTGAGCATTTTCAATGGTAATTGAGAAAAGTAATGCTAATTTCAATGTTAAGAAATGTACGCTTACAGATTCGTATATTTACAATGCGCAAACGACTTTGCATATAATTTGAAGATATTCTGCCTATACAGGGTGGCTAACGAATCGTGCTACAAAATTAACCCGTAATAAGTTTCTCTTTAGTCAATGCATTACATTTATTTTTTTATTGCATTGAAAATTTTATTTTATTTAAAAAATTAATTATTCCTCCATGCTCAACCACGCATATGCGACACCTAATTCGGGATTGCATCAATTCAGTTAGATTCCTGGGTTTGATTTTGTACACCTCTTGCTTGACATAACCCGATAAGAAAAGACCAAGCGGTCGCAAATATTCTTATACATAATATTATAATATATGTATAATTATGTGTGCATGTAAACAAATATGAAAGTACCCATTATAATTGTTAATTTGTCTATATGCAACGTATGTATGTAAATAAGTACACCCATTGTTTCATGCGAAATCTCCATTGCCACGGACAACCTATCGTAACTATGTAAGTTAGGTTTTCTTCTACTAAAACCCGTAAAAAAATATAAAGGTATATTTTTTTAGTGGAACATAACTTTATTGGTTGGAATAATAATTTACACTCAATCTTAATTCTATTTTTACTTAACATTAAGCTTAAATTCTAAAGCAGCGCTGCCGCTGTTGTTTACGGGAAACGGTTGACATTCCGTTCCCACAGGAAACAAGTGTTCGGTCAGCATTTTTTAATTGCGCGTGCAATATGGCCTTCAGGTGAAGAGTCGTATTGCACTTTACGTTTAGTTTGCGAGTTTGATATTATTAGGGAGGGATAGCTTATTTGGTGCTAACTCCTCCGCCCTTAAATTCGAACGTCCTCGTTCGACGCTCTTACAAAAAATCTTGACAAATTTTGAATACCAATTTCATTTGTATTGGTTTCAGTTATATTAGAATTATTTTTAATTTTCATTTTTTTGAACATTAATATTATTAAAATTAATATTACAAACATTGATAATATATTTATTGAAAAAAATACATTATTTTGTTTTTTTAATAGATTCAAATGTATAGTCTCGTTAGTTTGAAATTTTTTTATTAATTCTAATGACAATATTTCTTCTAAATTATTATATTTAGATAGTGGCTGTAATATTGCTGGTAATGGCTTTTTTCCTGTTATCATATTTGAGTTGTACAATATTCCATCTATTTCTAACCTAGCATTATGATATTTTATTAAATATGTGCCATTTACCATTAAACTTTCATTATTAATTTTTATTACATCATTAAATTGATTTAAAAGTATTAAGTCGCTTGAAATTTCTTCGACCGATTTTATATGTTCATTATTAATTTTCGTACAATTTTCCGTTTTACTATTTAATAAATGTGTGATACATGCATCATCCGATATATCTTTTACTGCGTTTTTAGGGCAAATTGATATGCTGTTATATGATTTACAATTGGTATATATGCCATAAACTTTGTTTGGACATAATAATATTAGTTTAAACATTATTTTATTTATTACTTCGTTTTTCTTTATTGGTCGTGTTTCTGTAGACCTACATTCTTCAGATCCCGTTGTCGGTAAACTTATTATATAAATTAAATAATTTTCGTTTGCTGCTAATTTGACTTCAGCGAATTCGAACGCTTCGTCTATATTAAAAAATGGTATATTTTCATTTTCTATAATTTTTTTTGTTATGTTCATTTCTTTATCTGACAATATAAATGAATTTACTATATTGGCTTTGGCCCAATGAATTGCGTAAGCCGTATTGATTAATTCTTCTTTTATAATTTCTAATTTGAAATTAATGGTTAGAACTAAGTCATATTCCACCTTTTTGTCTTCTTTAATTGTTTTTGTTAATTTATTTGTGTTCCCTAGAGGGGGGATTTTTAGTGACCTGCAAGTGGCACATACCGTTGCTGTGACGACA